CAGCTTTCGGAGGAAAGAAAAAGAAAAATAAATAAAAACATGCCATCTGTCCAGAAGCGGGGAGGTTAAACAAAACCCCACCACCTACATGACCCCATCTCGCCGCACAGTCTTTTGCTCTAGCCCAATGAATACGTCTTTGCCACGGCCCCGTGCATGCCTCATTTACGTCTTCACCAACAGGAAACACGTACGAAAGTAATGAGAGTGAAAGGAGCCCCGCAAAAACGAAACGGGGTATTAAGCTGCAAACACAAAGAAAGAAATAAAAAAAGGGCGAGAGTCTCATCATCTCCACGAATTGCCAAAGTAATGGCTGACAGAAGACATAATAAACATCCCTCTCTTTTCTCGCCAAACCCGCAGAGTAAGCGTGTCACACAGGAAATGCGGAGGCATCCACCAATTTTCCCCTCCGCGTCACCCCGAATAAGGGCTAATATAACTCGTCTCAATACTTCCTTCTCGCCGTTTCTCTCTCCCTTTCGGTGTGACTCTGGGTTTTTCAGTGGATGTTAAGGAAGCAATGGACCATCCCCGCAGCAACCCCGCGACCGTCCTACAGTAGAAGAGCAACTGCTAGCAGTGGAACACCATAAAGCAACGGCACAGCGCATAGATGGAGGACACCAAAAACGACTCGCACAACATCCCATGTATCGCATTCACCTCCTTTATAGCGGTTTCACGTACATCATGGCGATAATCCCCTTTATTTATTTATTTCTTTTCTTTTCTTTTTCTTTTAGGGTCATGCATCTCCATAGTTTTACGCCCCTCTCTCCTTTCACCCTTGTTAGTCCCCCCCCCCTTCCGCTTCGCTTCTCCAGAATTCGGGCGGCGTTCTTCCTTCGTGTTGCACTCTGTTTCCACAACTGCGACATTTTATTTCGTTACCTAGCCACAAACCCAGAAACGCACACACACACACACACACACACAGACACGCACACAGGCGCTTCTCTGTCGACCGCCTTCGCCGCTACAGCATAAACAAACCCACTTTACTCTGCGGCAGCGTGGGGTATGCCCAGTTGTAGAAGTAATAGTGCAGCTGTCCATCACCGCGAGCAAACTTGAGATCCTTTATGTACTCACCGTTGTCATGGATATCCACAAGATTACATACGTCGTAGCCCTGATTATGCGCCACAACCAGGAGGTCGCTTATGAGGTGCTCCAGCGAGAGTGTTGTGTTTGCATTGTAAAACACGTAGGCTGCATATAGCATGGAATGCTTGCTATTTCCAATCACAGACGATGGAAGTGAAAAGAATGAAAAGAAGTCGGTGATTTGCTTATGGATTCCTTTATTGCTGTCCACGTCGTGACTAGCGGCATGTCTATCACCGCCACCAGCGACAGGACGCTCTACCACGTAGCTCACCAATACACCCTCACGGGGCAGCGTGTAGTGGGCCACCTCCTCGTCCGTAAATACAGGGGCAACGTCACACTTGGCAAGCTTCTCACGCAGCAATTTCGCCACTTGTGGCACGTCTTTCGGCTCCATAGGTCGAAGACCACGTGTCTTGGGCTCTTCGGGGACTGCATAGAAACGCTTCATCATGGAAATCGGATTTTGAAACTTGTTGTATTGTGGCGGTACCGAACAAAATTTAATATCCAGGAGCTTTTGCAGGTTCAGACCTCGATGAAAGTACTGCGCCGTAGAAAAGGGTGTCGGCAGCAGCCTACCAGCCGTATAGATCGCCTGCCAAATGTTCATCAGATGCACCCGGCGTGTCACCTCCTTGATGAGGATCGGTGCCAACCGCTTCGCCCGCAACAATTTATGCACACAAAGGAAATTGATCTCGCAGATGGCACGAGGCTCGAGATACAGTTTCTCGTCTTGGTTAGTATCCTCCTTCTTCTCCTCTGACTCCTTCTCCTTGTCTTCGGTATCTTTCTTTGGGGGAAGGAATTCCCTTGGGGTGCCCATGCGCATTGTGATTGGGATGCCCGAGACGAACCCCATCAGCGCCTGGTCGCGCTTACGCCGCACCGCTACGTGCCAGGATGCGTGGTACCCCGGAGGCGCGAGTGCCCAGCGCAGAAAATTCTCCGAGTAGTTAAAGCGAAACATGCTGTCCCCATCCTCCACGTAGTTGTCGCGCAACAGCTCGTATACGGCCCGCACATCATCGTCGCTGTCCATGTCAGGCGACCACCACTCAAGTGTTGAGGCAATTGCCAAGGGCTCGGTGGGGACGTCATCAACAGACTTCTCCGGCTCCATTGGCCCCACCGAACGGGTCGCAGCGGCGCCTGGCTGCAGCACAGGCTGCGTGTTCCAGAACTGATGCAACTCCGGCCCCTCCTCTGTCATTGCTTCCCTATGTTCCTTTTTTTTACAGAGTAGTTAACTCAAACAATTACTCCGTTCCGCAATAGTTTCCTGGAGAAGCCAGAAAAAGAAAACAAATATATATATATATATATATATGATGTGCTTAATCCTTTCCCCGTGGGCAGAGAGATCCAAAAGAGCACGTGGAACATATTCTGAGGACAGGTGAGTCCATCCTCCCAAAGCTACACAGAGAGTGTGTGCATGTGCGTGAGAAAGAAGCAGCCAATGAAGGAGGGAAAGGGCTCAACAAAAACAAACAAACAACAACATACTATGCACCCCCCAGTAGCTACAGAGCCGTCTTCCCCCATACACAGCCTTCATGGCGATACCACGGGGTTTCACCCCACCCCTTCCAAAGTGTTTTGCGCGTATGTGTCTTTTTTCCACTTCATCTCTCTCTCTCTTTCCCTGGTGCGTCCATCGCTTTTTGTTTGCTTGCCTCGCTGTAACGCTACTGCACAAAGTCAGGCATCTCCGGCATGTCGAGTAGGTCCTCCAAGATGCGGGCGGCCACGAGCACCTGCAACCAGAACCACCACTCCCGTCGTCGGTTTGCCTCCTCGAGCGAGACCCACCACACCTCGCGGTCCACGGGCACAGAGCGCCGCGTTTCGTGTGTTTCCTTCAGCACAACAACACCACCAGCCTTCTTCACTAGCTGCTGCACTTCCCCTTGCATCACAACGGGGTCCACAGAGTCCCAGCCTAATATGCGCCCCTCCTCTAGCTGCTGCTGCAAGGATTCGTTCAGGCTACACACACCAGAAGTGACAGTCCTCTCCATTTTCGCACGGGATCCACCCGCAAACGAAGCTCCATCTGTGAGGCGAACCGTGATAAAAGGTGCCGCATCTCCTGCAGTTGCATGGGCCGAAGGCGCTACGGCCCCCGCGTCTGCATCATGCGACAAAGCTACCGATGAAGAATTCGCGGAGGCCAAGGTGGAACCCACATTCGCGTTCGGCGAGAAGTTGTGAACTGGAACCACCCCTGGCCTCATCCGACGCGGCAGCTCCAGACGCTGAAGGTATTTCTTGTCCCACTTGGGTATATGCCGCGTGTAAAAGAACCATCGACGGAATTCAGACTGCCGCCCGCGACGGAAGCGCATGATGTGCTTCTGACGAAAGCGTGCGTAGCGTGGATAGAGCCCCCACCACGTCCACGCCAGCAGCAGTGTTCCAGACGTGTATAAGTAGTTGGTGTACAAGTGGCTGACCGCGCCGAGCATAGCGTCAGCCGCCCGCTGAAACGGGTTCTCGTTCTCCTTTGCAATCGCCTCCATCAAGGCATTCTCACGTTCCTCCAGCACCTTGTCGTGAGTGGTGCGGACACCAATCTGCTTCAGCACCATCGCTTCTCCAGCTTTTCTTTTTCCGTCCCTGCCTCACACCCTCCACACGCTGTGATTGTGCCGTGACACCCTGTGCGATGCCTTGCGAGCGCCACGTGTCGGGCTGCCCCCTTGTGTCTTGCCCTGCGTCTACGTTGGTAGTGGGCCGATGCCGGCAAAAGGAATATCCCCTCTCCAAGAAAAAAAAACCACACACGAAGAGAGAGAAACGCAAGAGACGCATACAAACGTAAAACGGAGGGAAAAGAATACATCGGGAAAAAGTGGGGGCGGTAAAAAACAAAAGAAGAAGAAGAAGCCATAATAACTAATAGAGCGTCATACATATTGAACGCATTAACGCCTGCCTCTCCACTATGCTCGATTGCCGGCAGGAAAGAGGATGCGAAGTGCGAGCGTGTGTGAGTGTGTGTGTGTGTGCTGACTGTAGTGGAGAGAGGGAGGGAGGGAGGGATAGGAGGAGTAACGATAGGGCACAGCAAAAATGAGACACCAAACAAACACGCAGAAAGCGAAACAAAAACCGAACAAACAGCAAGCTGGCGGCCACAAAAGACGCCCCAGCGCGGACGTGAAGAGGAGCCTTCGCGCTTTTCCTCGAACACCTACACCTTGCGGGGCTCTCTGTCCATCAGCACCAGTGGTTGCAGGATAAGAAGCTTGTTAGTCTCCCCAACTCCCCCATTCACAAGCATCTCCTCAAGAATAAAGTGGGCTTTCTCCACATTGAACATCACGTCCAGCTCACACACGTTTTCAAAGTACTTGTCAAGCGTCTCCACCACAAGATGAATGAATTCGTACATTGCTAGCTCCCCTTCCTCCTGCGAGTCCCCCGGGTTGCTACAGGGCTCGCCCGGTGGTGGTGCCGCCGCGGAGACAACGCCACCGCCCAAGGAGGTTCCTGCTGCCGCCCCACCACTGACATTGACCCCCGCAGAAGAGACACTGGTGTTGTTAACGCCAACAATGAAGAATATAGAGGCATAGCGGCGGTAGATAAGCTTATAGTGCAGATGCTCAACAAAGCTGCAATCCGCGTCTCGCCGTTGCAGACATTTGCGCACAACTTCACCCTCAAGAGCGGTACGCTCAGCAATAGACAAGAAGGACGAGTACTGCGCCAGACGTGTCTGCCCCTGCTTATTTACAAGAAGAAAAAACTCTATTCCCATCTTGCAACAGTACAAGCCTATTTCTATGTGTGCGTGTGCGTGTGTGTGCACGCGTTGCGCTACTCTGGGGATATGAAGCAGCTGCAGCGCAAGACACGAAGCAGAGTTGGGCAGGGGCACGTGAACTAGTGCGTGCCAGGGGGAAACAGGTCGTAGCAACCGAAATACAGACGGGAAGGGGCAGCACCCTCCCCACTTTTTCTCAGGGCAACAAACTGCTCTTATTGCTCCCGTTCAACGACCTGTGCCTAGTGATCCTGAAGATCACGAAAAAGAAAGAAAACAACAACAAAACCACCAAACACACACACACACACACAGAGAAAACAATATATATATATATATATATATAATAGCAGTAATAATGGCAACAGTAGAAACTATCATAAAGTTTTTCTTTTGGTTGCACAACCTCCTTTAATGCGTCTGCGCTTACTGCCCTCCGGCTGTCCCGCCTGAAGACGCCGCGGTAGGCGCATAACTCAACACGCGTGTCGCCCGTGACGTGTAAAAGGTTAAGCACCCACTGAGGCACAGTGGGCAGCCGTGAGAAAGTGCAAGTCACACATAGGGAGAAAGAGAGGGCCGATGCAACTATCACGCCAGATATAACGCAAGCAGCAAAAAAAAAAAACACACACACACACAGAAAGAGGTGGAGTGCGTTAGACAGGAATTGAAACGAAGCCACATGGCGAGATCGCAGCAAAGAAATAAAACAAAATAAAGTAAATAAGTAAATAAACGAGTGATAAGAATAAAAAGACCGGGCTTTGCCTCCCCCCAACCCCCACCGCATCTCCAGGAGAAAAACTAGTAGGCACGCCTTCCGCTCTGCCTTCCTTCAGCGTCCCACCGCCGCCGTCGAAAAGGGAAAGAGAAGAGAAGAGGAAGTGCAGAAGAGGAGGAATGGGGAGAGGAAGGCGGGAAGGGAAATCGGATCCGAGAGGATGTAGCAACACTTATTCACAGCAACGGAGCAGCTGCCACGTGTCCTCCTTGCCCGGATGCATTCTGTGCCCCACGCACATCCCCTCGCCGCAAAAAAGGTGGAAAAGCAACAGCAACAAAAGCGGGCCCCATGAACTTCAAAGTTTCTTCGCCCGATACAAATTTTTCTCTTCCCACACCTCTCCTTTGCCTCATGCCAGTCCCCATCCACGGCTCCGCCACCTACCTCGTCAGCAAGCAAAGAAAAAAAAACGAACAAACAAATCCACGCATACAAACAGACTCAACTCAACTCAACAAGAGACCAACAATATTCAGCATTGTTTCTCCCCCAGCTGCCTCACTCCACTCCCCCCCTCCCCCCCCCAAAAAAAAAACAACCACACGTTTGTCTACACACTCTTAGGGCTTCTTCCTCAGCACTGCTTCCCCAACGCCTACTTTAGCAAGCAATGCGCGTGGCAAATGAGAAACCGCAGGGAGAAGCCCGATATTCGACAAGCAGGAGAAAGAAATTTGTGCGCATGCCGTGATTGGGCAAAATGCGTCTTCGCATGGGGAGCGGCGATAAGTTATTGAGGGCTGTATAGGATATTATCGGAATAGTAGGCAGATATAACGAAGGAAAAGGCAGTCACACTCACACACACGCACACACACAACACAACTATCCGAGACAATGCATGGAAAAAGGTAATAGCGAAAGCAAGGAGAAAGTACAAAGCTGCCAAGTACATAACGAGAGCAATAGTGGTGAATGCCTCTCAAAGTGCACTGACAGACCTCACCATTACTGTAACGCCTCTATTATTGATTTGTTGTAACACGCTACGGCGATCGGCACACTTCCCATCACAGAAAAAGAAATGAAAGAAAGACGTAAACAAACTCGCAAAGAAAAAAAAACAAATGTATAAAATCTCTAAACATACAGTAAATCGATAAAAAAAACACACACTATAAAAAACCACACACTATTTGCGCTGACCCCTGGCACACATCTGCCAGGAAGCAGCAATGGGTAGTATCAACAGAGCGTTTTGACTTCAGCTGTTTTTCTTTTCCTTTGCACCTTTATTACCTTCCGTTTACTAAGAGTGTTTCGTCTGTGCTTGCACCTCCTTCGCACCGAGTTAGTTTGTTGGCAGTGGCAGCCAACGCGTGTAAATGCGGGTGTCCGAGGGTTGGAGTAAAAAGTGCATTCGTCAGCCTCTCCAAAATCCCCAATGCCCGCTCTAATACATGCTCTTGCCCCCCCCCCCCGCAACGGCAATAGCCAAAAAGAAGACACCCCCCCCCAAAAAAAAAGACAATTGCTGAATGACATTCAAACGACAGTCTGCCGGTGAACACATCGCCCACACTCCGCATCGTGGCAACTCGAGACTCACATACGAATAGGCAAACATACATAGAAACAGGGGAAAATAATGCTGATCCCACAGCGGTATTTCTATCCTTACATTACGGTGCCTCCTCTCCTCCCTTCATGCCGAGCAGTGGGGGAGAAGCAAAGGAGCCAAAAAATGCATCCGGCTTTTGCTGTGCACTCATCCATTTCCTCACCCTCGCTGCTGCCGGAGACGCGGAAACCAAAGCAAAGGAAATCGTTATACACGCCTTCTCTCCTACAAGCACACAGAAGGCGCCAAAAAAACAACAAGAACACAAAGGAAAAAAAAAACAACAACAACCTGCAACGTCTCCCTCCCCATTCTCAGACGCTCTAAAAGAACAATAAAGAACTCCCAGGTGGGAACGTTAGAGAAAAGCCAACGCAAGGGAGTCAAAACCCTCAAATAGGCCCCCAAGAAAAATATTGGTGGGCGAAGCGGGTTTAAAAAAAAACAGAGAAATAAAGCGGCAACTAGCTCAGTGTCCACAGTAATCAGTCACCTCCGCATGCATCTGTTCCACTCCCCCTGTAATCACTACCGCGCAATCCCATGTGCGTCAAAAAGAAACGGTGGCGAGGAAACACGCGGAGAGACACATACCCACCTAGTCACCCGTGCCAATCCTTCCCATAAAAAGAAGGCAGAAAGTCATACAGGTGAAGTCAGTAAAAAAGGAAGGATAAAAACAATGAGAAAGAGAGAGGCATATATAGATATATATATATATACGTGGGCATGACAAAAAACACAGAAGAAGAAATAATTAAAGGGGCATCAACACTCCCAAACACAAAACAAAAAATTACGTAAAGAGTGTGAAAATATGGAAGAGGAAAGAACTCACATATACACTCGCGTGAGATCATTTCTTCCGCTCATTGCACTCCATCCATATACTGCTGAAGCAACGCATTCTTGTCCCTGCCTCCAGAATCAATAGGGGGGCCAACGTACAAAAGCGGCACAAGAAGCCACAAAAAAGAAAAAAAACGAAACAAAAAAAAGTAGTGAAATACACCAGATGCATAACACACGAGAACACAAATAAACTCGGCACAACACGAAGAAAAAAGGGGTGGTGACATCATGCGAAAAGAAAGTGCACGGGCAGGAAAAAAGGGTCATAAGTGAGAAATTACTTAGTATGAGAATTAAATCCAACTGAACTCCCCCTCCCCCTCACAGATACAAAGAAGGAAAATCAAAAACAAAATAATAATAATAAGAATCCAGCGCCACATCCGTTGCCGTAATCGCAACGTAGCCGCCTAACAGCTCCCCCCCCCCTTTGCCTATCGGTTTCGCGTGCAGTGTGCACGCAAAGTTGCGTGTCTGCGCGTGTTTCCCAACTTTTCTCGCCGTTTTGAACACTTAAAACATGAAAGCATGAAAAAATGGAAAAAAAAGCGTATATATATATATATATATATATATATATATACGT